ACTATATGTGTATAAATTTAAATAGGCATTATACTCTTTTTAGGGAAATGTTCTCAAAACAATGTTTTTTGCTCATTTAAAATTTATTTTGTATTTTCTACTTTTCATTAAACTTTGATTTGAAAAAGAAAATGATTTCCCATTAAAAGTTTAAGACTGACATTATTGTTCATCTTCAGTTTCTCTTTCAAAGGAAATCTACCAAAATGTCATGCTGGTAAGGACATCTTTTATTTAAAGAAACAAAAACAAAAATAATTAAAAAATCTTTTCTATGACCTATGACTTTCGGCCTTCCAGTATGCATGAGGTTGTTAGAAATGATTGTTATTATCAAAACTTGAGAAAAGGGTGTTTCCCATTACTTAACCAGTATAAACTTCCAGAAGGTGTGTGCTTTTTTTTATGCTTCTGACCTATCTTTATACATATCTTTACATTTGAATGTTGTAAATCTCTAATCATGATCTAGACAATGACCTACAGGATTCCATTTCTTTATACTTTTTTCATTTGGGGTATAAAATAAAAAATCTCTCTGCATCAATATAATTAACTAACCAATTAATATTTATATTTTATACATTTGAAGGGAAATCGAAAAGGGAAGTAACTCTTAAAGTCCTGTATTTAAAATGCATAACAATAGTGGTATCTAGTTATCTAACAAATTTATAACTGCAAAAAAAAACAAAAAACAAACTTAATTCTGTGATTTACAGGTGTTTATTTTCAACATTTTGTCAACTGCTTGGTGATGGACATTGGTTTTGAGGTTCCTCAACATCTGTGTGGTTTGTCAATATTTACTTATAAAGGGCTTTAATATACATGAATCTTTTATGAAGCTAAGAAAATATAAGAGAGCATAAAACAATGATTTTTTTTTCCTTATGTGTCATTAGGAGTGTTTAGTTTTTATTAATTTCACCCAAAAACATTACTTTTGATTGAATTCTGACACCTGTCATATAAGCATGCATTTTTGTAAATTTTTGTCAAAATTGGCCTATTTTTTAAAGTAAGCAACATTTTTGGCATATCTTTGTTTTTTTTTGTTTTTTTTTCATAAGAAAGGTAAAAATGGGATTCAAATGAGTTTCAATTTTTTCTTAGAACAGTGTTCCAAAATTGGGTTGATAAATTGAAATTGATAAATGATCAGATTAAGACACTACTTAAGAATAATCAAACACAGGAGATTACAAACATACTCCAAATATCAAGCATGGAAAATTATTTGTATCAGATTGGTTATGTTAGTCATTTTGATGTGTAACTTCCACATACATAAACAAAAAAAAAAATCATCAAAAAACAAACGTATACAGACAGCCATTTAATACAAAAAGTTGATATGGTGGGATTGGATGTTTTCAAGTCTGTTTAAGCAAACTTCAGTTAAATGACTTTTGCCCCAAATGAAGACAACATTTGAAGAAAAGTGTCTGAAATTGGTTAAGAGGGAGGTAGAGAGAGAGACACACACACACACACACACACACACACATACATACAGTGTATATATAATATTCAATCTGGATAATACTAGACTGCATGTTTCTTTATTGACCAGGCAAAGATTGTTGCTGCTTGGTTTGAAAAATTTAACTTCTAGAACCTTTCTTTACTTAGTTGTGGAATGATGGAAGAATGAAATTTTCAAAAAAAAAAAAAATGGCTGAAGATAGTGGGATGAAACAGTAAATGTGATATTTGTTAATATGAAAAATAAAAAAAATTCTTTCCTTATGGATTATACACAGGAACAATGCTGTAAAAATGGATCAGTGAAATTATTATGGTACTTACAACAACAAAGAGTTCTATTCAAAGAAATCTTTGAATATTATTTTTTAATTTTCAAACATTTTTGTAATTTGTGAATTCCAATGCTTATGCCTTCATGACGATTGTTGGTGTCTTGTTATTTGATAGAATTGGCAATTTCAAGACTTTGGAGATTTTTATTCAATGCAACATCCTTTTTTATAAGCAATTTTTATGTGCTAACTTTAAAAAAAAAAATTACATTTTGTAAAAATTTGTTTATATTATTTCATTGTTGAAACTGGTTTGATCTGGTGCTTGTTTTTTCACATATCTGCTTATGTGGGTGGGACTTTTTAAAAATATAACCCTTCCCAGGTGCATTCCAGCAAAACTATCAGGACCAGTAGAGTTTTCAATTCTGTATGTTTGCAATGTAGAAATAGAATACAGCGACAAAATGAAATCACATTTACTGTTTTTAATAGAAGTGTATCCATTTATGAAATTATATTTTCCTCAGAGCTGATCTCTAACATGAAGTAGAATTTTAGTGCCTTGGAATGTCTTTTTTACCTCAGCATATGGATCATTTGTAGCAAATTTAGCATAGAAGAAAAAGAAATTAAACATCGAATAGGTTGAGCTTAAGGTAATTTTGCCCAACACCACAAATTGCTAAAAAAAAAAAACTAAAATATCAACCTGAAAACTTGAGTCACGTTCTTAAATAGCCTTGTCAGATCAAGACTTTCATATGGATGTCATACGTGGCATAAAATGCATTTAGAAATATCTAAACTGTCAGATGTATATAACCACTTTATCAGTGGTTAAGAATTGCTTTGAGTGAGTGAAGCTTGGGGGTTGTCTTGGCAAAGAGCATCTGTCTTTGAACTTTGTTGATTGGCACTACAAAATCACAAAGAACTGTACCAAATAACAGAAACCACATCAAGTCAAAGAAAAAATAAGGACATAATCAAGATGCTGATATTCCTCACTACTTCAAAGAAAAGGTTAGAAAAGAAACCTTTGTCAATACTAGAAAGAGCAATACTTGTCCGCAACAGACATGGGATTTCTTTGCATATCTCACACACTGTTTAGTTCACTCTCTGAGGTATTTTCAAAATATTTTCCTGAAAAACAGAATTTGTTATTAAAAAAAAAAAAAAAATCTGCTTTTTTTTCTCTTCTGTTGTTGTTACTTTAAAGCTCTGATATTTTGCTTTGACCAAATTATAACAAAACAAAAAAGTGGGTAACATGACATTCTGGCAAATTGATTTCAACTTTATAAATATGACTTTGCAATTTATTGAATTTTGTTTTCATTAGAATCATTAATGGATTTTGGTTTGTAACTTGTGATCATAAAAGATAGAGTGTGTAAGAATTGTTCTACACTTTGTAGGCATCTTTTACTCTCTATAGTATGTGAATAACAACAGTAGATGGGATCTGGATTTGAACCCCTGTTGCAAATATAATTTTCTCTGTTGTTAAATGTTGAGTTCCATTCCTAAAACCTCTGCTATTAAAACATGAAAACAAAATATGCACATTAAATCAATTAGTTCTGTTTACATTCCATTTTGAACTGCCAGGTTAGTGAGGCTTGTTATCACAAACTCCACTGGGAGAAGGAAAACAGCCAATCAAATATAAGTGCAGAGAAAAGTGGTTTTATGCTTTATGTCCCAACAGCAGCAGAGTCGGACAAAGTGAATATAACCTCAGTTTGAATTAAGCTCAATCACAGTAAACATTATCTTTGGCATAATGTTTAAATGTAATGCGTTTCATTCTCTAAAAGGACTTCATCAGATTTAGAGGATGAAATGCATTACATATTTTTTTTCACTTTGTCATTCAATTACCTAACATTGTTCTGATATAGAGAAATTTATAGATCATATTCTCTCATAATGTTTAAAACAATGAAAAATATCCACATTATTTCAAAAAAAAGTTTAATACTGATTGCCATATTTGTTAGACTATAAAACATGTCTGCACTATAACTCATCCTGGTCTTTAAAATCTTTGTGGGTGTTTTCCTATTCATATTACCAACACTTAAACAGTGTAATATTTGGATATACTTTTATTGGAAATTAATTAGTGTTGGTTATATGCTATCAAAATCAGTGAACCTTTTGAAAACTCCAAAATATTTCTCAACAAAGAAAAAAAAACAAAAAAAACAACAACAATCTAAATTTTAAAGTATTTACAATTTTATTCAATCTGTTGGCCTGGAAGAGTGGCAGAGAAGAGGAAATGCTTGTTGAGTGTATGGTTGTGGTAATGTGATTATTAATATGTCATGTGATCGAACTTTATTTCTCTCTTCCTAAACCTCACAGTCTTCTTCCATTTCTTTTTTGGAGAGCTGGCACTCTCTTGCTCAATCCATGTCAATCATTTCACTTGGAGTGTAGAACAGATTTTATTTTCTTTCTTCATTTTCAACCAGACTAGAGTTCCGTTAATTATTGTTAACCTTGTCATCAGTCGAATTAAATTGCCAATTAATACAAAAAAAGGTCTTTTTTTATTATCATGTATCATATTTATTTTAAATATACTTTATTAAACAGGGTTATGGCATTAACACACTTTTGTTACTTATATATATATAAATAAACTGTCTTTAAAAAATTAACTGAACATATTTTTGCTTTTGATTTGGGCTATATTGCTTGTTACTCAAGTCACCCACCCATATCTCTGTCATGTTGCTTGAAACATTTATTAAAATTTATTTTGAGATGAATGTATTTTTATTTTAATTTTCCATAAATTATAAAAGGCTGAGTACTGTCAACAATATTAAATAAGAAAGGTTTATAATATGATACATGGTAAAAAAAAAGAAATCACCAGTATTTTAGAATTTTTTTTAATGCAGAAATTGTTTCATGGCAAGAGAAAACTTTTTTTTAATTTGTCCCCTCCCCCATTGATCACTCTTGTGACATCACTTTTTTTAAACATTTTGTAATGTATTGTTTCAGGCCATCATTTTGATAAGTTTTTTTGAAATGATGTAAAGGCAGTCTTTATGAAAATGCAATCATTGAATCGTTCATCGTTAAATAATTGCTCTCTCCATTCAAGACAGTTATTCTCACTACCAATTTGGCAAGAGTTAGATTTGAATATGTCATGGACACTCGACTTGGTATGAACAGGTCTTTTCCAAACAAAAACCAATATATTGTTCATCTGAGGGATTTATATGTTGACTGTGAATGCTGGGATTGATTTTTTATTCTGACCAACTTGAGGAGATGCTGATATCTTCTGCTTCCCTTGTGTTTATTGTGGGCTTTATGTCGCAAGTTTTTGGCCTTTTCTTTCCCTATATCTGAGGGGTCATTGCTGCTATAATAGGATTCAAGTTTCATTTCGTCTACTTGAGGGCATTTGGAATCTGGAAAACAAAAAAAAAAATAAAATACTTAATGTTTTTGCTGTATCAATTTGTGTTGAAATGTTTCAGTGAAAAACTCTACACTTTATGATATTCTCCTTATATATTTATTCTTTAGTATATTTTTTTCTTTTTAATGACATAACCTTTGGTTAATATATTTTTGGCCTTCTATGATTGTTTTGTCTAGTCATCTCCAGTTTCTGATGCTATACATCTGTGGAATGTTTGAATGGGAGACATTAAGAGAAAAATATATTTACTTTGGACAATATTCAAAGTTTCCACCTTTTAGAAGCTGAAAGAATGCATTGGCAGAAATGCTGTGTTCAAAAATATACAATAACCAAATAATTTCTGGATTACTGACAATGTTTTACTTTAGACTATAATTGTTAAATATATATTGGCACAAAACAACAACTGGATGTCTGTTATGTGATCTCAAAACAAACTTAATTTCTTAATACTATTCAAACATACTTTAGCATATATGGAGGTTTGAAAAGCTTATTTTGTCAGATTTTAAACTGTCAACTTATGGAAGCTTCTCTCAGATGATTTATACTTAAGAGAAGAAAAACATTCTTATCAAGTCTGTTTCTCTTATATTTAAGAATTTTTTACAGGTGTAATGCTACTGAATTTTTTTTTTTTTACCTGGTTTCATATATTATCTTTACTCTTTAGATTTAAACTATTACTGCATGTTACTTAGTTATTGCAAAAATGTCCCTTTTCTATCCACAGAAAGCATTTTATTTAAAAATGTTACTTTAATGTTAATTTCAAAACTACCAACATTTTGAAGCCACAGTTAAAAAACACTTAGATAGAAACAAATGTTTTCAGCCACTAAACTGTAGATGGTGATTGTGAATCTATAGTGAAGAACGTTTCTAACACATCAGGATTTTGAGAATATGTGTATGTTAACATATTTCTGTTCAAGGTAAATCTTTTAGTAATATGAGTTATGACTTGAGCTGGTGACATGAGATTCCTTGGTATTCACTGTATATATAGTTAGACCCACAGATATTTTTACAAATTATATAAATTTGGGACAAAAATATGGGAGTTGAAAAATAGAAAATAAATTATGTGATTGTCTGTATTTGTGCAAGGATCCTTGCACAAATACAGTCAGTTGCATAATAGAGATCCCAAAGCCATTGGCTGGTTGAAGGGTAATTTTATCTCTTTCATCATAGAGTTGAGTTTTGTTGACTGACCTAAATGATTACTTACTATCCCCCCCCCCCCAAACCAACCAAACTATATATGATGGAGAAAACCCTGTTTTCTAGCAATTGTCACATCATGTGTGTGTTAACTGACAGAAAGAATGGAATGTCCAATTGTTATCAACTTGGGAAAAAGCCAAATACATTTTTAGCTTTTAGTTGATATTTATGATATTCATTTCATCTATGTGGGGATGAGGTAGAGTAGGGGAGTGTGCACTCGTGGTGGTGGTGGTAGTAATTAGAATAATTAACAAAACAATGTGAACTGGCTTATGGGAAGGACACGTTTTTTTGGTAACAAAAAGGCTACATCCCCACTTCCCCAGCTATAGATTTTACAAGTATACAAATGTTTTATTAGGAAGAAAATGCTTCTCTTTGTTTTAGATTTTTAAAAAAATACTTTGTGGAACAGATGTTTGTTTTTTAGAATCAACAATTTTATTTGTTTAGACAAGACATATTATACTCTCCATGCTGGCCTTTTTTTAATAAGTTTTCTGTGGGATTGAAGGGGGGAAAAAAAGAACTCCGCCCACCCCAATACTATCTACCACTGACTGTCTGTGTAAATTAATGAATGGAAAGATCAAAAAGTCTGTAACCTAACATAATTATTAATAACTGAATTTTAATCTTATATATATATATATATATATATATATATACACACACACACTTGTGCCAAGCCTCTTGCTACTCTATTGTTATTTTCATGAAGGTTTTCAAACTACATGTCTTACTTTTTATAGTTCCAACCTTCACAATGAAGACTCAGCATGCCAGGCATACTGTAGCAAGTCATCCTCATTCCCTTTGTATTCCATTGATGAGATATAAAGTCCACTTCAACAGTTTCTTCCCACTTTGTGAAACTGACTCCCAGGAAGATGCTTCTCTAATCATGACAATCTAAACCTGTTCAAGTCTAGGATTAACTGTTATTCTTCCCACATATCCCCAGAAACTCTGCCTTTTACTTCTTACTCTGTAACCCTCTACCTTGAGTGGCTTTTGGGCCTTGTACAGAGTGAACATTTTTGTAAAAAACAAAACACAAATAAAATTCAAAAGTTATACTTATAAACATTTAAAACAAATTGTTCCAATGTTTTTATTTATTTTAAATCTATTTGGTCATTTTTACTGGGATATTTTTATGATAGGCTAAAGAATAAAAATGACTAACAATGACTCCATTGTCAAGTCTTCAATATTTTTATTGTATCACTTATTAATTTCTGTTCCATGGTTGATTTAGTTAGGTGGATATGTATATATCTTTCCATAAAAAGATTTTACAAAAATCCATTTTTTTTATTCTGCAAAAGCCCAATTACTGCCTCTCTCCCCCTACTCCACAAGATACCCCCCCACAGATATTTTGGCTGACTACACATGTGGCTCTTTCATGTTTTTTGTTTGTCAAGTATGGCAGCATTGCCTGCAGGTAGATTTATGATAATGAAACTCATCAAACAGGCTCTTGTGTCAGTCAGTTCTTGGTCTGATCTAAACATATGAGAAATATTGCAGATAATAAATCAGAAGTTCTTTGCTAGAGGCTAACATGATAATATTAAAAAGTGAATAAAGAGAGAGACGGATTTGTGTCAGTTGGTTGATAGATGAGCTAAAACTAAAGACCAGGTGTTGATAAAAGTCAATGTTTAAACCTTTTCTTTTGTGTCTAAATATGTGAAAACAGAGCAGAAAACAAAGTAGGGACAGTCGAACATTAAAAGTTTCCAGTCCTTGTGCAAAATGTTTGATGCTGCATGGTGCCTATAGATGTCAATGTGCCAAAGTTGGTATTCTTTATGCCTTGTAGATAGTAACTACAGGAAGACGTTTTTACTTCCCCAAACCATAAATGGCTATAAAATGAGTTTTCATTATAGTAATCATTTGTGAAATATGCCTTGAATGTTATCATCATTAGCAGCAGCCCTTCCCAACTCCTTTCATTACAATTGTGACTGGTCTATTCTCTGTGATGACTTACCAACAAATTCCCCTATTTCATTACTCTATCATCTATCTGGTATTTTCCTATTGTGTTTCCTAATACTTAAGAACTAATCAAGCAACCTTTTGCTCCCTCTGTTATCTTCTCTTTTGCTATGTGCCTTGACTACTTCTATTTTTATTATTTAAACTATTTACATTGTTGCTATATTCACAATCTTTCAGCTGTTGTATGCTCTAGCCTTCTTCAGGTGATTGGAATTTTGAACTGAACTCTTTATTTCATCCATCGGAGTAGATTTTTCTACTCCAGATGCTATGCTTCTTCCAGAAGTCTCAGTTATCTCTAAGTTTTTGTTCACCACTGCAGTAGCCAGGAATTGAACTCACAACATTTGGGGTCAAGTACACTTTTATCCACTGGGCCATGTGTTCTTTTTATTGTTTAAACATGTCTATATCTTTGATCTTTCTCAATTCTCTGACCCATGTTGACTTCTTTCTCTAGAATTGTCCTTTTTGTTAATTTTTATGTATGACATTATACATTTACTAGGCATCTTATATTTTAATCATCTTCACAAAGTGTTTAAGTGTTTTTCATTGCATTCACATATGCTCTCAGTTGATATTGGCATAAGATTCCTATAACAAATAGTATATCAAAACTTTTGTTCACTGTAACAGTTACTTATATCATAAGACAAAAACAAGAGGGGAAAGGGAACAGCAAATTTGACTATTTTTCATGTAAAATTTAACAAATTTCTATATTCAACATGTATGTTGTACATTGAAAATCATGAAGAAAGGGATTGTCAGTGGTCAGGAAATGTTACTGTTTGAATTAGGATTTATATATATATATATATATATATATATATATATATATACACACACACAAAAGGAAAACTCATCTTAGCCAAGATATTTTGTCCTCTGATGGACTTTATCAAGGTAAATGTCCATAAAGTTCACCAGAGGATGAAATGTGTTTACTAAGATAAGTCTTCCTTTTCTCTGTCTTTATTCATATTGTCCTTTTACAGATATATTTTTAGTAAGTGCAATCTCCCCACCACACAGTCTAACAGCATATAAATGGAACTTACCTGGAGATTCCCAGAATTCCACAGTAATAAGCTCATGGCCGGCTATCCAGTTCTTTGATTGGTGGAAATGAGTACAATCCCATAATGCAACATGGCCAATTGGTTTATTATCTGCTTTTGCATATGTAATGATTTGTAAAATCCCCTGTTTTCCAAAAAACTTTTTCATCATGTGAATTGGATCAGTGGCATGCATTTTGGAAACTGTTGGATAACCATATTTGTCAGCCAAATAAGGTCCATAAGCGATTGGGTGGTAAATGTACTGTATATGATTGGATCCACTGACACTATCTTGGCCATATTTAGATAGACGGATGAGTGTCTTTCCAAGGGAGTGAATGCCACCCACTTTATTGAGTGCATGTGACAAACGTAGAGCAGTTGTGTCATGAAGCAGGCTCTTTTGACAGATTTTATTACAACCAATCATATTGATCAAGTGTCGATTGTTGTATTTTCCTCCATTATGTTTGTAGCCAGGATAGAACTTCTTTAATAACTGGAATTCTGGGAGAGATGCCTTCTGAAAGAAACAGAAAAAATAAGTTTTTTTTTTTTTTTGTTTTTTTTTATCAAGAAAATAGAGATAAAGTATGCCTCATTAAAATAAAATGTCTGTTAGATTTCAGGGGTGTTTCCAGATCAGCAAATATATGTGCATTTCTCTTTTTGTGTTTTACTGAGGATATAGATCCCCAACACAAAGATTTCATTTTGTTTAATCACCAGATCAATTAAATAGGGTAATTAAAAACAATACTTGTTTTCAAATACACCTTTAATTAATAACATCATTAAATACATTTAAATTTGTTCTATCAGAATCATTTTTTTCTTTCATAGAATCACAATTTCTAAAATCATGCAGGTTTCTTTGCATATCATTGTTAGGAAACCAGTCACAGCTCTCAGCTAAAAAAAAAAAAAATATCAAACAACAACTGAAAACCACTGTTGGTTGTGGTCTTGCAATTGTATTATGAATTGACTTATTAAGGCAAAATCTAATAAAAGATAGACAAGCAACTTTTGAGAAGAATTGCTGGAATTTGTCTGTAAGACTTCCTTGAGATTTTGTTGGCAAAGTTTATTGCATTGCATGTGTGAGTGAAAAGCTGCATCAAGGTGAACTCCTATCTGGCAGAATTTGTTTTTCTTCTTGTCTACAACTAAAACATTTAGACTCTTTGTCCTGTTGCCAACTTGTTCATTTTTTTTTCTCTCTTTCACACACACACAATAATCAATTTCACTTGTTTGCTATTTTTTTCTGTAAAAACAACCATGTCTTTTGATGCATCCATATTGTGAGAATCCCAACTTAAACACACTGATATTTTATACATGAAAGTCATTTTTGACAAAGAAACACAAAAAGCATTTCAAAGAACAAATAAATTTTTTTTATTTTTAATTTTTGTGTTGATTCTTATTGAGATTTGCCAACCCAGAATGGCAGAAGGGCAACCTATCCAACCAAGATTGAATGTCATTAGGAGTCATCCAGAAATTGCCCAATTACTTCTACCATAGATATGGACATTAATGTATACCCCCTATTATCCCTCTTAGTGCAATGGAGTGGTGTAGTCTAAAAGACAAACTCCCAGTTACCAGGATGCACTTGTTTGTTAGCCTATCAACCCCAATGATTAGAATCTCAACTTGAAAAAAGGAAATCCATTTAGAAACTGCAGCTAAAAATTTCAAAAATATACGCAAAAGATTTCTTAAACAAATTTTCAAACAATGCTACTTGAGAAATTTAAATTTTAAAACAAGTGCAAAAATAAAAACTTAAAAAAAATCTTGTAAAATTTATACAATATGCCTGATAAGAATGATGGATGTTTTAGGTTTATCAAATGTTGAAAAAATAAAGGATAAAGGTTGGCAATATTTGACTAACTTTTTCAAATCTGATAAAACTCACTGAGACCTTAAGTACCACCCCAGCCATCTAAGACCAAATTCTAGTTCGCCCTCCAAAAAAAAAAAAAAAAAAAAAAAAAAGTTAAAACTTCACACTTTTGTATTTGAGGGCAAGTTAACTCCCTCACCAATTCCTTTCTGTTTTCAGCATTAACAACACATCTCTTGGCACTCTTTTCTCTTTATCAATGTTTCTTCATCTTATCCACTATTGTGACCCATATTCTCTTGGATTTTATCTTCCAAATTTAATCTTGTTCTTGTAAATTGGTAACAAGTGCCATTTCTACTTGTCATACTGAGGATGATGTATGCAAAATATGGAAATATTTACAAAATCAACCAGGACTTTGTCAATTAAATACTGATTGTCTGTAGGCATGCTTTTCAGAGTTACTTTTCATTCATAGAGAGAAAATCAAAGTGGTTTTGGTAAATGTTTCTGAGCACAGCACACAAAACCACAAAGATGCTGACTGTAGACTAAATCTGCTCAGACCAATTTGTCCTATTTTCCCAATGACTGTAGCACAAGGATAGTCAGTTGTTTTTTCTTGCAATCTCAAGAACAATGGCTTACTCACCTGAGTTAAGGTGTTTATTCTCCACTTTATTTACTTAGAATTAGGTCAAATAGAATTTCTGGTATAAAGGAATGGTTAACATGCTTATCCCACTTTGTAAGGTACCCTACCCCTTGCTTTTGTTGCTATCTGCCAGAGAACAATCTTAGTAAATGTCAATAAGTTGCCACCCCATTGGAAAGGGGAATAGCAAAATGTAAAGCTATGGGAACATTTTTATCTCATTCACATTCAAAGAACTTGTCTATCATTTTTTTTTTTTTTTTTTTTTTTAAAAGTTTAGTTGCTTGGCTAACAAATTCACTTAGATGACCATATGTGAAGCTAGAAAAAGAAATCTTACATGATTACTTTGGCTGTAGTATGCCCGTCCCATAAAGCTTAAGAAACCTAAGACATTTGAAATCATTAATAAAAAAAAAAAGTTTAATCATGGCAAAAGTCTTTTAGGACAACTCTTGTGACTTGGTGTACAAGTTTATCCTGAAATAGTTCAGAAATCCCCAGTTACTTGAGTGTTTTACACTAAAGGACCAAATTATCGTAGTTAAGTGTGTGGGGTCTTTTCTTTATATTCTAGGCTTGCTGCCACCCCCATAATAAATCAATTGCTTCCTTTATTCCCATCTTAGTGTGGGGAAGGTGCTGTTTTCTGGGAACCAACCTCAGTCTCTATTTGAATTTAATTATAAGGGGAACCAACCTCAGTCTCTATTTGAATTTAATTATAAGGGGAAAGTGGAGAAAGACATTTAATTTATGAAAAGCTTCTTTACAGTTTACGTAAATGAACAACGTTTTTAAATAATTTTTTCAGCAATGATAATATGTTTTTAAATAACATTATTGATATTTTCAGTCATTAGCATTAAAAACAACAACAAAAAACAACCATAGTTTAAAAATATCTCCTTAGAAGGTGATCACCCTATGGGGATCTGACTTGCTACACATATTGGCCTGTCTGACAAGCTTACCAATTATTGTTTTATATTAGGCAAACTACCAAACAACAACAGAAGAAACAAATTTTAAATTGAAATCTCTTTTTCTTTCTCTCTTCATTGGTCAAATTTTTGTCAGTCATAAGGTTAAATGGAAGAAAGAAGACTATTAATCTTTCAAGTGGGGAGGGCCTGGCTTTAAAAATTATTGAAATCCTGGATTCTATTTGAGGTAGGAACAAGAAATGTGCAACTATCTCAACCACTAGGCTGATCCTCCATATTTAATTCATTAAACTCCCATTTCCCATATTTTTATATCTATCCAATCCACTAGAATTCGCAAGTTTCAAGACATTTTTCATTTTTTTACTTAGCAGGAAAAGAAAACCTAAAACCTACACACTACCACTTTGCTATACCAGCAAGTGCATAACTGAGGCTAACATAGATTTAAAAAAAAATTGTTTAACCAGTTGGAAGGAAGTATTTTTATGAATAATGTTTATTATATTTAAAAGATAAAAAAAGAAAGATTAATATGTTGAATGAAAGAGATGATAGTTTCTCTTACTCTAAAAAGGTTTATACATTTCTTTTTTCCCAGGCTGGATCTTTCCCAACACAAGCAGATTCAATCCACCCCCATAAAACACATGACCTGAGATAACCTTGTAGTGTCATATTTTTATTTATTTATTTATTTTTTTTTAAGTTGTTTAAATTGCCTAGTTTTTGTTAGAAGAGCAACATTTGTCTACATTAGCCAACCTTGAACCCATCAAATTCACACACACACTTTCTCTCCTCTTAGACACATTGTCACTATTTTGCAATTGTATTTAGGATTTGATATGACTGTCAAAACAGAAAGATTATAAACAATTAAAAACAATGCTTTTCTCTCTCACTTTTTTTCTCCATTTGGAATTAAGCTTTGAACTTTTAACATTTTCAACAAGAAAAAGAAATTGGAGCCTTCTGCTTTACCATATGAAATTTATTTCTATATTTTGCAAAATTTGCTTAATCGGTTATATATGTCATAATTTCTCAAATTTTAATTTTTTTAATGTGAGACAGATCCAATTAATAACCGATTCTGAGAAAAAATTGTTGAATTCTCAGACTAGAATTCTTGGATTTTGAGACATGGGGGTTTTCAAATTTATTGGGAAGTGCGGATCAGTCTTTTTTCTTTTTTTCTTTTATCAATAGTTGTCACAGAATATGCATGCCTTCTTGTTTCATCTTGGAAAAAACAAAAAAAAAAAAAAAAAAGAAGGTCTGGTGCTCTGTTGGGTAATTTTGAAACTCCCAATTTTCACTTCTAGTTTTGATTCTCTGACAAAAACATAAAATAGCTTGTGTGATTTCTTTAACAAATAGACAAAAGAAGCAAAACCATCAAAGCAGACTGAAGAAAACTTTTCATTAAGATTCCAGTTTGTGTCTTGCACAGAATTGAGCTTCTTTTTTGTGGAAGTTGTTAATGCAAAGTATCAGTTAATCTTCAAATGTTGAGGGAGAGAAAGAGAAACTCTCCCCAACCCCAACAAAGAGCTTGGAATATTGAAGGCTTACTTTACCCAAGATGACATACACAATGGCCGAAATAAATATATCATCATTTTTGCTCTATTTTTAAGAAAAGTCATAAATTTAAAAAAATCTTTGGGTGAAAAGAAAAAAAAAATCTAAATTATTGATATATTTAGGGAGAAGAATATATATTTTGTGGAAATATATACAAGGGTCTGATGAGAAGGTATCTGATTAACAACTGGTTATATGGCCTTTTGATGTAATTTAGAGGTGTGATAAGAGGTGTGACCTTACAGCACATGAATGAACAGACACTCTCCTACAGGATTACTCAGTTAGCAATTGAATGCTATTGTAGGAGCTTGTATAATGTGATTGTTGCATTCACAATGTCTAAGTCAACATAAATGTCATCAGCATGGACATTCTGATTTTTAAACATTTCTACTCATGTGATTATTAGCCACTTCATATTTTATTGATATATAAAAATAAATATTTTTGAGGATTTGAAGGTT